CAATAGCGCTTTTAACTACATTCAAATAGAGTCGCTTGTATAAAACCTACAGCAGCACTAAGTTACGCCTATAGCAATCGTTCTCTCCGTTAAATATAACTTTTATAACCTTCACCCGGGATTTAGAGTCCTATAAAGCGTTTGATCCTTTGAAATACTTGATAGGATCTATTTTATAGCTAACCAGCAGAGCGGTTTAGACAAACTTTCCTATATTATTTTGGAAGAAGTTCTTATTCCGGATATAGTTATCCAATTCGCACAATATCTTATCCTATATGAAGTATTCTTTTGAACGTGACTCGTCAATAGCTTTAACTGTATATTCGATTTCGTTTATCGTTGTAAAAAGATCAATAGCCCTATATATCTCCCGCTAGGTATTAGCTAGAGATACTGGAAGAATTATATAGGGCTTATTATTGCAGCGTTTGATAACAACTACTTTATATTAGTGATATATTTCGACGCCTATTTGCGTTGTATATACACTCTTGAAGATTAGGTATTGCAGATTTATACAACGATACGGCGGTTGCTTTCGATAAAGATAAGGTTCAACCTAATTACAGACGACCCAGTTAGCTTATATTAAAGCACAGAGCTTACGGGCTCTTAAACCTAGCTCCAATTGTAGAGATATAGGAGGCGGCGAAGTGTATATAATAGAAGGATAAACCAACTAACGATAAAGGATCAAAAGATCAATTGTGTAGTGGTGAAGTAATCAATAAAGAAAAATCTCCGTTTAAGCCGGATCTAGGGCACGGGAATATAATATAAGCGAGGCCTTATATTCCAGAAGTAGAGCTTATATTACCACCAATAGGACCTCAATCGAGTTTAAATATTAACTAAGTCTGACTTCTCAGTATTACTTTGGCGGTGGAGGTAACTTCATTATATTTATATACTCAAAAATTATAGCAGTATACAATGCCTTATTATTCCAATCCACACTATCAAACTCTAGCTTCAAACCTCAACTCTCAGTTATAGGACACCGGCTATATAGAAACGTAAACTTTTATTCTCTTGGTAGGACTTCTATTCTAATCAGTGGGAGCGTTATAGAGCCACGTCCGGATCTGTATAAACTCTAGGAACTTTGTAAAATTAGATTATATAATAGAATGAATATTGTATCATAGTTTTAAATATACTGACTGGAGAAACCATAATAACTACAGGTAGAGCTTGAAAAATCAATTGGCCTATCAGCAGATATAAATTCGACAGAAGCAGACAGAAACGCGTATACTGCCAAATAAAGGAATTAGAACAGCACCGCAGAAGGCTTAAAATCCGACTAACCCCCTAAACAGCCCCGAGGAATATCTTTGCTAAAAATCCAATAGTAAAATTGGAGCTTTACTTCCACTATCGGTACATTCGATTTGTCTAGGTATCCTAAGCCCACGCTTAATATTTCAAGGTCTCTGAGACTCTGGGTCGTCACGGCCTGTTCTGGACCTTTGCGGAAAACAAGCTCTATCCTAGGATCTCCAGAGTCTGCGTAATACAATTGAGTCTTATAGAGCTGATACTTATAATAAAGCTTGTCGAACTGCCCACAAATATTAGGATAGCTTATTAGAGTAGGAGAGTGACAAAAATCGTACCTCAACAGGACAATACTGGAGTTCGATATCTATTTCGGAGAAAGATATCAGATCGGTGAATTCTGATAAGGTATAACAGATAAGTTTTCGGCAGTAGAAAATAATGTTAAGAATGATCTTCCAGCACTACCTCGGATACTGGTATAATACGCCAGGTATAGCGGGAGGAAGCGTACAGAGATGATATGAATCAAGTTGGATAAATTGCGGTGTGTATCTGGGGACAAAGCTGGAATATTAATAGTCTATAAAAGAGATCATCGTTTTTAATCTAACAAATCTCAACGCGTGGACAATTTTTCTCTTGTTTACGTTAGGAGGAGATTGGGGGTAGCTCCGTATAAACAAGTTCGATTCTTTATTGATCCCTTTGTCTTAATGGGCTGCGCTGTGTAACTCTAGTATAAGGATATAGATTCGGACGAAGGATCTAATACCAAAACGACTACCACTCCTCTAAAGTAAGTTACGTATAGCTAAATAACGGGTAGACAATAGAGAGCTGCTTTAGTTTGTAACGGATCCTCTAAATTAACCTCTACTAGACCTAATAGAGCCGCTTACGAATCGCCTATTCTTCTATAGGTAGGGGGTAAAAAGGTATACAATTGTATAAACTAATATAAAGTGTCAAAAGAAAATAGAGGAGAGACAAAATTGTCCTTTAATATAAAGTATCAAGGAGTTCGGGTAGGGTTACCGTTGGTTACTGCCAATATTGTGGAGATTAGCACTTGGTACACTATTTATTTCCATTCCGCAAAAGATAAGTCAAAATATATTTATCGTTAATAACCCGCCTATTGATAAGATTAGCAATGCCTTGGGTCTTAACGGGCTGCCCTAGTTGTAGGATAAGCCTAGTTAATATCCCCTCCTCTGTTATATAAAACTCCTGGTTTTGAAGCCAGCCCCTTATAATAATAGACATTTCTTGGAATATAGACCTCCTATATACACCGAGAATCTATAGACCCGCGTAAATCTCAGCAAGCCAAAGTTACTCTCTACCTCGGGTAAGCGTAACGAGGCGTCGACAACCGCTTTATACACTCTTCGAAATAAGTTTATAAGAATATCCTCCTATAGGGGCCTCTCTGTTCGTGCGTATTATCACTAAGTCTATCGTATATTAGTCTCCAGCTCTAACTTAACAAAGTTATAAACACGCTTCTCACCGTCAGGGACTAGATAGAGACCTAGCTTCTTCGATCTAAGTTCTTCTATCGTCGACTTCTGGGAAATTAACAAAATAGGTTCCTTGAATCGATCCCAAATATAGCTACAGCTATCGGATTCCAGAAGGACGTTATATATCTGATCAAGCGTAAAATAAAGAGTAGTGCTGCTTCCGGCGTATAGACCCTATAATATATCGTCGACGGGCTTATACAAAGGGCGGCGCCCCTCATCGAGGATTATAACAAAGTCTGTATCTTGTTAGAATGTAGTCCTCGCCTAGCAGGTATACTCATTCTGACTATCTAGAACGTTATAGATACCCGCCCTAATTCGTCTAAACTCTCGTAAGAATTTATCAGGGTCTAGGGGTCGTTAAGTTAGCTTTATAATAAAGTTGCTGTTTGAAGAGCGTACCGTGAGGAGCGAGGTTTATTTTGTTGATCTAACGTATACCTTTCTCTAGTATATTGCTGGGAGAGGCCTTTGTTTAAATACTCAAATAGTACTTACCCTATTGGAAAATATAAGGCCCCTATTAGGGAATAATTGGTGACAATTTTTCAAAATTTCTTCGGTCCACGGGATAGCAATATATCTTGCGCCTAGTTAAACACAATAGAAGTAGAAATTCAATTTGTGAAACACAATATATATTACTTTTCTGGATATACTCAGGTTGGCCGTAATATTTTGCACTAGTACATTTTAGGCGGATCTTTTGGTTGCAACCAAGAGATCCGCCTAAAATATACTAGTGCAAAATATTGCGGCTAACCTGAGATATTACCTACAAAGTACGTTTTGCGTTCTGCTGATCCACAGACGCACCAAGAAGGCGTTTTAGGCCAAATCCCTATATAATCTGCGGAGGGGTTTAGTATTTGAAGCCAGAGTGCACTCCCTATAGGACACTTTACAGGAAATCTAATATCGAAATACCACGACCGTACTGTTTTTAATAGAATTGGTAGATAAATAAACGTCCCTCAAATTGCAACCCCACCCTACTATTGTCTGCCTTTCAGAGATAACGGTTCACTACCCTAGCTCTTTATATTCTTCTTTAGATCACTGAAAAGCTTTTCAACCCTCGCCTTTGCATCGGATACATTCGATGTATCAGAACCAACTGGAATATCTACCTCAGCCCAGACCTTGTGGGAGTCTTTGTTTACCAGCTCTTTTAAAGTCGCGTTCGCTGCGTTTTTATTGATTTACTATTTAAATCTTCTGTATTTCTTTCTATCTATCTCAAACTCTTCGCTATAATTAAGGCGAGAACCGATACTTGAATCATTCGGGCCACTCTGAGATAGAGCAGCTCTTGTACCAGCGATACCTTGACCTTGGGCTAACTTTGTGATTTATGAATTTCGTCTAAGCACCCAGTTCTTTAGCTTTTCGAGGGATTCCTGTCTTGCGCGGCTTATTTTGGCTGACTTTATTAGCCTATATCTCGACGAATACTATCAAATATAATACTTACTAAGAGTAATATAATAAAGAAGATACTAAATTCTATTTAAGTAAAAAGGTCCACGAGTAGAAGAGTATATAGAAGAAGCTGTTTTCCCCCGGGTCTGCTTCCACTTAAATAGCCCTAGGTATAATAAACAGATAAGGGGTATACGTATATCCACGAGCGGCTCGCTTATCGAATACGTTAGTTCAATAGCTAGTTAACTAGAAGAGTGGATGGTGTGATACAGTAAGTTCAATATTATACTTTTATTCTTAAAACTAGGTCCAATTCACAACGTAGAAGAATATAGAAAATAAACAAAGAAAATACTCGAACGCTGCGACTTAAATGCCAAACGGGTATAAATATTCCTATACTCACTGTTCTTCAGAAGACTTCAGCCGGTTATATATTTCGGCCTTAGCTTGATTCAGGAGCGTTTTCGTATCACTATATTGGTCATACCTCACGACTCCCTTTTCTGGCTATAACTCGCCCAACGAATGTTTGATATAGGCCAATAACTCTATACCTTGAATAGCGCTAGAAATATCTCTTTTAAGCGATCTAATATCACTAGCGGAGAGCTGCACTGGGAAAGGAGGATTCCCGAATACCTAGACGCCTGGTATATCTAGCTATTCTTTCTCTAGATCCAGAACACTAGCCTAGTACAATACCTCCCCGTCTACTAAGAGATTCTACGTAAGTAGCAATATTTCGAAGTATTTAGTCTACCGAAACTCTATCGCTTTGTATAGTACTGGATTGTCGCGATATATAAGATTTCTGTATAACGCCGAGAGAGATATACTTATATAGAGACGTTTCGCTTCGAGTTGCTTCGCTGACGAAAGTTCGCCGATATTCTCGGGTAAGGTTGGCGGTTCAAGACCCTTAACCGAAGGTCTATTATAGTCCAGGAAATACGGCTGGCGGGTATATTCAAATAGAGGCAATAGTTCAGTTGATTGCCAATCTATAATACCTAAGATTTCCGTGGGCCGTTCCGGATTAACGAAAATGTTTTCTGTATAGAGGTCGCTATACCACAGGAAAGACGCTATAATCGATTTATTAGTCGGTAAAAGGTATTAGACGAGCCGAAGGTAACTGTGTAGAGCAGCTAATTTTTTAGCCCGAGTCGGGTAGGATATACTAGGTCTATAAAGACTTAGAGGGGATTGGGGAAGCTCTGCAATACTCTGTACGCTAGTAATCTCTCAGAAACCAACTGTATAACGATATTGAAAAGCATTATCCCCTAGAAACAATAGAATACTATATAAGCGAAGCAAATATAAAGTAATACAAAATAACGACTTATATAGTCCGCGGTCAAAATCAATTGATACCCTTCTATAGTCAGCTTGATCCCGACCTATCGATAGCCCAATGGCGAAATAGGGCTGTTTAGTATAAGTACTATCGCTCTTTATTAAAACACATTCTTTCTAATAGTCGGTGTCGTATAGATAGTAAAGGCTCCTATATTTAGTGAAGGAAGTAGATAACCAAGATTTTTGGTATCCTGAGATTGCTTTTACAATTTCAAATCTATCTTCGATATCTATATTGTACTAGGTATAACTTAGCTGGACACCTGCAACCTTTTCTATGATAATATATTCGGTACCAACAGCGTTCTCGCCTGCTTTCGAACTCTAGGCTAGAACACGTAGAACAGGAGTACCTAAGATATTGCGAACCTTACGAAGATTAGTGACTATTAAGGAGCAGGTAGGCTGGAGTCAAGGGTGCCTTACAAAATCTATTGTAGCCACCTCACTTACTGTCGTAAAATAAGCCTGTCCGGCGTTGGGGTTTGGTACCTTTCCGACTACTTCAGCGCTATCTACTATGGTGAACTGGAATGTTTTGTTGAATATACTATCGGGGAGCTTTTCGATATAAATATATTCCCTTGAGCCAATAGACTTAGCGGTAACCCTCGCAAGCTTATTTATATCAAGTTTCACCCGACGTATTGACAGTTTATATTCTTTATTCGATACAAATTGTCCCCTTATATATTCGAAGAAATCGTTAACTAGGTTCCAGTCTTTGTGTAATGACCTGCTGAAGCCCGGCCTAAAAGGCATAGAAAGACGTAGCCTCTTAGATAGCCTGGCTAGTTGCGTAAAGAGCCTACGTATCACTGCGGTGAAAACCAATAGCTATATTGCAGTGCTGCGAGGATAGTAGAATAAATAGAAGGTACAAGCAAGGTTATACGCTAGGATATTTGACCGCCTAGGGATACTCACGTGAGTATTCGTCGTTGTAGTTCTTTTATACCCAGTGATTATTTTATCGTCACGTGATTTTATACCTAACGTTGCTTTATCCGATACTTAACCCCTCCCCCTCTTTAGGAGCTAAGAAATATCCTTACGTATACTTTATTCTTTCCTTACCCTTAAGGTATACAGCTATTGATTATCCCCTGAATTTGGTTCCTTAAATAACTTCTGAACCAGCAACCGGTTGCTAATCCCTACTTAGTAGCTGCTATATATTGTCAAAATATTTCCTCAAGAACTACCTAAGGCCGCTGAGAGGATCCGGAAGGAAATAAAGGGAATAATACCCGAAACGGCTATTCTGGCAGATTAACCCAGCGAAAATCAAGCGAAGATTCTTAATAATAAGAATAGGACTAAGGCTTACGGGGGAGATTCACTTACGGGAAAGATTTCTCGTTTGACTGGTAAAATAGGCATCGGTATTGTACGTATATCTTATGGTATCTAAGCTTATTGTACTGACCGGCGAATAGGGCTGGAGATTTCGTCTGGTTTACTGGTCGGAGCCTACCAAACTTCTAAATAACCGACAGCAGGGATATCTTATACTATTGAAAGATATCACTTTAACACCTAGAGGAACATTACGAGAACGTTATTACGCTGAAGTCACTAATAAGCCGCTTCTTAGCTCGGGGGCAGCTGCTATTTTCATTGTTCCGGCGTGATAAAACAGAAGTTCTTTTTCAGTATATACTTGTTTAATATATATATATATAATATCCATTTTGTACCTCGAATGATTGTATAGCTGGTATACAAACAGCAAGTTCTAGTTATAAATTACCTTATTTCACGACGATAGGCCAGTGGGTTTGTTGACAAGCAACGCTCCGGTTGAATTGTAACGAGACTTTAGGCGTTTCAATAGAAACCTGGGATTGGGGATCTCGATGCTCAACTATAGCTTGATCCTGAAGCATATCCATAGACTCTTGTGGTATTGGGTCGGCGTTTTCATATATATTCAGTGTACTGCCTATCCAAGCAATAGCTTACTCATCAATCGTGTCCATGGAATCTTATGGTATTGGGTCGGTGTTTTCATGTATATTCAGTGTACTGCCTATCCAAGCAATAGCTTGCTCATCAATCGTGTCCATGGAATCTTGTGGTATTGGGTCGGCGTTTTTATATATATTCAGTGTACTGCCCATCCAAGCAATAGCTTACTCATCAATCGCGTCTATGGACTCTTGTGGTATTGGGTCGGTGTTTTTATGCATATTCAGTGTACTGCCCATCTAAGCAATAGCTTGCTCATCAATCGCGTCCATGGACTCTTGTGGTATTAGGTCGGTGTTTTTATATATGTTCAGTGTACTACCTATCTAAGTAATAGCTTACTCATCAATCGTGTCCATGGAATCTTATGGTATTGGGTCGGTGTTTTCATGTATATTCAGTGTACTGCCTATCCAAGCAATAGCTTGCTCATCAATCGTGTCCATGGAATCTTGTGGTATTGGGTCGGCGTTTTTATATATATTCAGTGTACTGCCCATCCAAGCAATAGCTTACTCATCAATCGCGTCTATGGACTCTTGTGGTATTGGGTCGGTGTTTTTATGCATATTCAGTGTACTGCCTATCTAAGCAATAGCTTGCTTATCAATCGCGTCTATGGACTCTTATGGTATTAGGTCGGTGTTTTTATATATATTCAGTGTACTGCCTATCCAAGCAATAGCTTGCTTATCAATCGCGTCTATGGACTCTTATGGTATTGGGTCGGTGTTTTTATATATATTCAGTGTACTACCTATCTAAGTAATAGCTTGCTTATCAATCGTGTCCATGGAATCTTGTGGTATTGGGTCGGCGTTTTTATGTATATTCAGTGTACTACCTATCTAAGCAATAGCTTGCTCATCAATCGCGTCTATGGACTCTTATAGTATTGGGTCGGCGTTTTTATATATATTCAGTGTACTGCCTATCTAGGCTAGGGTGTGCTCGTCTATTATACCGAAGGACTCGGACTGTATTATTGGTATAGCAATTTCCTCGGTAGAAAAACTAGGGTAGTCTCGGGCTGTTTCGTTGTTGTCTCCGTGTGCTGAAAGATATACCGCGGAATTTGAGACTACTATTTGGAAACTCGATATAGGAGTGGACGGAACTAGAGCTGCTGAATATAGTCGAAGGTATACTAGTGAATGTTCCCCTTCGCTCGGCTTAGGATATATCCCGGTAATTTTTGATCCTCCTATACCTTGCCTAGAAGAATTTCTTACCTCGTGTATTCGAAATAATCGCGTCTACTGCAATACCCAATCTTTGCGAAGTTTTCGTTAGTATAATTTGACGGGGAAAGATTGTGCCTACTGACCTTGGCCTATTCCAGTGAAGTGAGTATTCCGAGATATCGAATCTTCGATCTTCTCCTAGAGTTTACCGAACAAGGTATTCGCTAGGTTATCTAGATTATTCTTACCCTCAATATTCAATATCCCACGAATCTTAAGACGCTGGATTTCCTCCTACCTATTTAGTCCACTCAGTGGTATTGCTCTAATACTAGATTCAAGTTAACACCCCGGCCGGGTTATCAATATAGAGAGCTTACAATTCATTATAGAGATCACTGGGAAAGCAAAATAAGTTTCTAAGATAAGCGTTACCCTTTGCCTCAGCACACCCTAGGTCTTAATATAACGTATCGATCCTTCTCCCTTTATTTGTCTATCCAGCCACTTAACGCTTAATAGTTTCTAAGTCACTACTCACCAAACCTGACTTCAAAATTATATGAGCTGTCTTCTCTATATTATTCGGACGTATTTGATTGATATATAACCTATCTTTCAACCGATAGTATATCACTTTAAGGAACCTTAAGCGGATTGTGTTAGATTCTCTTCGCCTATCTAACTTTGTTAGGTATTTATAAGATCGTGTAAGTGGTAAATTTTTAAGATCAAGTGTACTGCTGTCTTCTGTGAAGAATAGAAGTGGACGTTCTTTCCAGCGATGAATATTTTTCGTAAATGCCTTAGGGATAGTGATTTTCGAATTAGGTTCTTTCCTAGGCTTTTTTGGGGATCTTATCGGGGATTTAGCGTACGGGGGCCGGCCAATACTTCTCCTGGTACCCACGGGGATCTCGGCCTAAAGGATTCGCAGTGAACTAATAAACTTGTCTCTGTTAGTTTTACCTAACGGGATATTGATTGAAAACACACCTTTTTATTAGTAAGAGGGGTATCAATGTTATCCTTCTTATTTTTCTCGGCCTCCGCGTAGGCAGCAGAGAGTATTTCGATAACCACTTTGCTTTCAGAGATACCTATAGTAACTTTGGAAACTAGTGAAATAGACGACGATACTAGTATTTGTGGTCGTGGGTGCGAATAACAAAGGATGAGCTTTTTAAGAGCAAATCTATTCCGCGTCACTAAGCTGATATATTATATACGCGCTAAATTCTAGCTAACGTACGTTCCTTTGATGATTGGTGGAATTACGCAGTATATAGCTCGAGCGAACTTTGCAGTTCAACCAATTGTCGATATAAATTTTATCAGTCGTAAATCCACCTCTAATTAGAATCGGTACCGATTTGTGAGGCCTATAGACGAGTAAATATTCGAATTTTGCGTAAATAGATACTATCTGTGAAACGGTTTTTCCTCTCTTAGGTTACAATCAAAATAACACTATAAGAGCTACGAGCGGGTAGCGGGGTAGGCTGGCTGGCCACTATTGGAAAATAGCCGACGCTAAGGAACTTTTATTTGCTGCTGATATAGTCGGGTTTAACCACTTTTTTAGGCGGTTTCTTTCGCCCTGATTGGTTAATATTGACGGTATTATATTATATTTGTTATATTCTGTCTTGTATATTAGCGCAGTATTAAAATATACGGGATCTATATCTAGGAACTTAGGCCAAAGATAGTGAAAGGGCCTATCAACCCTTAAGCAATCACAGACAAAACAACGTTATGATCACCCCTATCAAAATACGAAGCGCTTTAGTATATACGCGATAAGCCTAGAAAATAGGGTATAGGGCCCACTCAGTCTGTCGATCATATACTAACTACCAACCTAAAATAACTCAGTAGAAGAGGGAACTATATAGTTCGCGAATGGGTTGGGGGGTTAGTATACGATTTGCGGGGTTAGTATTCTATTCGTTTGGGGTCGCGAGAGCCTCCTCAGTGACCGCTTCATTTATTTTGGATTGAGAACAGTATATTTAGTTATCCCCTTAGAAGCTAATTATCTCCCTGATATAGACTCTAGCTCGGGCCTATAGACCCTAGGAACAAGATATAGGGCTCCCGGGAACGCCGATTAAGTTCCCCGGAACTAACCACAGCCTAGGAACGCTAGATACGGTCCTAGGCACGGATTAAGTGATCCCAGAAATACCTCTGATCCCTAGCGACTAAGAGCGTACCTAGGAACCACCAGTTCCCAGAGAACTGTAGGGCCCTGTAAACGGACAGGTGTGCTCTAGGATCTAAGGTAGAGAGCCCAGGAACGATCTATCTCGCTCCTAGGAGTGATAGGTAGAGTTCCTAGAGGATATTAAGCTCCCAGAGGCCGTAAGT